AGTAGAGGAAGGAGAAGCACTTGCCTGAGGCCACCCAGGGAGATCGTGACAATCAGAGCTCCTGTTTGGTTGGGTCTCATCACAAAGCCCTGTTCTCCCTCCATACAGAGCTTCCCACTCCATCCCCAGCTGCTCTGCCCCATCCCGAGGTCCTTCTTTGGAAGGGAGTTGGCACTGATGACCCCATGCTGACCTTGCTCCCGTGTCCTTGGTGGGTGCTCAGCGCAGAGGGTACCTGTGGTGAGGTGCCGCAGATCCTTGGAGGCTCGGGCTCCATGAGCACCTGCTGCATGACCCCCACATCCTGCTCATCGTTGAGGTGGGCACCCTGCTGCCAGCTCTGCCTCCCTCCACCGTGAACCTCCAGAGCCTTCTGGTTCTGGGGCCAGGCTGGCTCGTGCATTCTCTCATTTGACCTTCCTCACAACTCTGCCTAGATCCTGTTCTGCACATGGCGGGGTTGAGGCAGAGAAGCAACTCACTCAGGGTCCCACTACCAAGGGTCCTTTCTGCTGAGCCCACCAGCTGAACCCACAACCCACTGCCAGTCTTTGCCAAGTTGCTTTTGCCGGCTGTGGTGGCACAAGCAGAGTTCTTTTCCTAGGAGGCCTGGGTTTGGCCTCAGATGCTAGGCCTAGGGATGGCTATTTGGGCTAAGGACAGGGAAAAAGCACATGCGAGGCCCAGGCAGGACCTCACCTTCCAGCTCTATGTGAATGGGAGTAGAATAAGCAAGTCGTCGTAGGGTAGTGGCCCGTCCTGCTCGGTGGGCCTGGGGCAGGTGATAAAGCAGATGAGGGGTGAGTGGAAGGGAAGACAAGTGGCCAGGTTGTAGAGGAACTTGAATCTTCCTGTGAGGGCAGTGCATGGTCCACCCATCACACAGGCAGTACTGCCGGCGCTAACTCACAAGGTGACCTCTACACTGCTGGCCACAGGGAACCAAGAGTCTCCGGATGTACGTCGCCCTGACAGGACTGCAGCACAGCAGCTGCCTCCAGACTGCAAGGATCAGGTAGTGCCATTCCCACTCTCTGCTCCTCAGGTCCCACCTGGGGTGGCAACAGGGGTTGGGCAGTGCAGCCTGGCAGAGCTGAGCTCATTTGCTGGCTTCCTGGAGAGAGGGAAGTCGGGCAGGAGCCTAGACCAGTGATGTGGGGCCTTCACACCTGGGCTCCAGAGCTGGGCCTTCACCTGAGGCTGATGGGAGGTGCTGCCCAGGGAAGTCCTCACTGCCCTGGCCTATTGCCACTCGCCTGGCAGCTACTGCTTCCCACGCTGCTGGGAGCTGTGTTTTCAGAACCTGGGGAATGGAGGTGCCCATTAAAGAGATGCCAGGCTCCAAGGCCAACACAAGACACATTTGTTTCTTCTTTCCCTCCCTTACTTTCTCCCTCTCTTGCTCCCCATGCTCCCTGTCCTGGGGCAGGGCAATTCGAAATCACTGCTGGAGCCCAAGCACCTGTTGCTCCAAGTATTTTGCAGAATGCTTACTGAGAGAAGACCCGGAAGCTGGCTGTGACCCAGCTCCTTGTGGAGGGAGCACACAGGCCCCACCTCACAGGAGACGGCTACTCTCTGACAGGCTGAAAGGCCCAGCCTGCAGCCAGGTGCCCAGCAGGCCCAGACCAGGGGAGGGGCACATCCGGCCTCGGTTGGCCTTTTATGGCTTTGCATGGTCAGGGAGAAGAAATGGGTGCCCTAGAGCTCTGGGGTGCTAAGTGGTTGGGGTCATGTTTCTGGACAGAGGAAGGAGCAGCAGGGCCTTAGATCATGGGGCCACGGGCTTTCTGCAGTGAGCTTTTTTTTTTTTTTTAAATATGTTTTTATTGATTTTTTAGAGAGAGGAAGGGAGAGAGAGATAGAAACATTGATGTGAGAGAGAAATATCAATCAGCTGTCTCCTGCCTGCCCCCTACTGGGGCTCAAGCCTGAAACCCAGGCATGGGCCCTGACTGGGAATCCAACTGGTGATCTCTTGGTGCATGGGATCATGCTCAATCCACTAAGCCACACTGGCCTGGCTGCAGTGGCCTTAAATGGGGCAACATGACCACTGTCCTGGAAACTGTTGGCCTGAGGTTTCGGGACTCTTTGGGTCAAACCATGGACCTAGGGCTGACAGAGAATCTCGGGCTTGTGCACCCCAGTGTTATGGGGAGCGAGCCCAGAAGGGATGTGACCTGGGGGCATTGGGGAGGACCAGCCAGTCTGAGGGAGAGCTGATCTCCACCCTGTCATGATGGAGAACTGCCCAGCATGGTAGTAGGGCCTGGGCCCTGGAGCCCCTGCCGTGCCAGTGAAGGAGGACAGACACCGTGGGGAGGAGGTGCTGTGCGGATCCCTTCCCACTACCAGGACAGCACCAGCAAGCTTGGGAACGTCTAGTACATCGGCTGCACTTGGCGATGTACCTGCTTCGCTTTTGCAAGGTGGTCAGGCCTCTGCCAGACCCAGGGGTGGCAGCCCCTCTAACTTGGGGGCCAGGAAGATGGGGCTGGCATCTATGGGATGAAATTTTGCCAAGTGGCCATCTTTGGGACCAGGCTTAGAAAGAAACCTTACTCACTATGGAGGGGTGTTGGGGAGGCTGGGCTGGCAGTGGCTCCCTGTCCCAGGGACCACTCAGTGACCTGGGTGGGAGACCCTGACAGGCAAACACCCTTCAGGTGAAGAGAGGCTCCCTACATTTGTAGGAGCAGGGCCCAGTCTTGGGACCTGAACTGTGAGGCTCTGCCGCTGAAGATGTATTAAGCACTGGCCTCTGGTCTCAGCCAGGTTCCTGGGACCTGGTTTTGCCTTGACCCTTGCCCAAATCTAGACGGTGAGGGGAAACAGAAGGCAGCCATGAGCCAACCTCCCACAACCCACAGGGAAAGGCAATATTAGCCCCTCTCCCCTGAGGCATAAAGTGAGGCTCAGATATGGGTGATGATGTGCCTGGGGGCGGGGGGTTGCTTTGTGTGTGTATGGGGGAGTTCCAGGTAACAGGCCTCCCCGCTGGGCCTCTGTGTTCCCAGTCCATCATGGAGGAGCAGATGTTCTTGAAACAGGTGGCCAACCTCCTCGTCAACCTGTACGGCATGACAGCTGTGCAGTCTCGGGCTGGCCGATCCATGGGAGCAGGGCTCCAGAACCATGGCCACGAGCTGAGCCCACCCTGCCCTGCCCTTGCCCAGCCCACACAGGCAGCTTCCCACTGGCTTTGTCCTGCTGCACTTTAATGAGGCCTGGGTGGGGGGAAGGGAGGATGGGGCCATTGGGTAGCACGGACGAGTCTCAGGTGAGAGGGTCTGGGCAAGTCAAGGGGCTTGGCACCCAGTTGTGGTCCCAGAGAGGGTGAAGCACAGGGTCCATGCAGCAGCTGACCTGGAGGCCGGCAGGTTCGCCGAGTTGTGGTTGTGGTTGTGGCCTGTGGGGAGCAATGCCAGCTCCATTGGGAGGCTCCACATTGTTCAAGACACAGGGCCACTTCCTTTCATCTTCTTACCTGAGAGGAAAGGGTGGGTTAGTGACAGGGTCCCAAACCAGTACCTTCACCCTGTCTGTCCTCCCCACCCTGCTGGAGCGGGTGGATGCGGTCACTGGGTGCCTGCTGTGTATTTGGTCTTCACGTGCATTGACCCACAGTAGCCCACGGCCACAGGAAGGTGTCCCTCTCGCAGAGGGGGAAACAAAGGCTCAGAGTGTTGAGTATTTTGACCTTGGAACAGAGCTAGTTTGGCTCTGGGCTGGAATTAGAACCTACGACTGGTGACTTCTGAACCAGGCGTCTTGTTCCCAGCTGAGGCACCCAGCTACCTGGGTGGGAGCTAAGAGGTCAGTCACCAGGGATAGAGAGCCCTGTGGCCCAGAGATCCCAGCGTTCTCTCCCTCCTCGGCTCTGGCAGGTTCTGTTGGTCAAGATCTTCTGCATGGAAGCTTATTCTCAGAATCTCTTCACCTTATCTCAGCTGAAAAAGTGTGAGTAAGAATGCGTGGGGTGAGGGTCGGCGAAGAGTGGGGCCGATTCCAGGTATCTGCTGACCGTGTGCTGTTTCTGGACCCTGTCAGGCTTCCAGGGCCTGCTGGCTGCTCACAAACTCCCGCCGAGTGAGGGCTGGGTAAGACCTGCGCGGACCTGCGCGGACCTGCAGCGAGGCAGGGCACAGACCTGCAGACACGAGCTCTGCCCCAGCCTGTGTGGGCCCTGCTGGCATCTGCCCAGGGAAGGTTCACAAGGGAAGGAGGCACCCCTGCACTGCAGCAGAAAGGAGACTGCCCTTCTGGCAGATGTCCCCGGCTGCTGTCCTAGACCATGCAGGGACTCTGCGAGTGCTGCTGGCTTGTCTGGCACGTGCTCAAATTCTCCTTCTGACCCGTACCGTCCGTTCTGCTGGCCTCAGGGCTTCGTGCCATAAAGCCCTGCTGCAGAGACCTTGTGCAGAGGGGCACCTAGTTCTGTGCAGTTCCTGGCTCTGGAGGCTGGCCAGGCCCCCTGCAAGGTGCTGACCTGACAATGTGCCCTGGAGAGCGAGGAGATGGTTCCTCCTGCAGTAGGTGTGAATCGCATAGGGGTCTTTTACTGACCAAATGCCTTCTCTGTACCTCTACTCCCACAGGATCTGGAGTGTTTAGGGAGTGACAGGATAGAGCTTTTATCTGCAGCCCAGAACCATTTCCTGTGCAGGGCCTTGGGGGTTATGAGCCCTCGCTTTGACCCCTCCCAGGTGACTGCTTGGTCCTTGGCAACATACACTTGTTCCCACCTGGGCCTTTCTCTGTGCTTTCTTTGCAAGGATTGCCCTCTACTCTTGAAGTGAGGGTTAACAAGGTGTCTTTAGGTGGCACTAACAGGCCTTTGCATTTTCCAGGCGTCCTTCTGCTGTTACTTGCTGGACGGACTGGCTCCCGGCACGCTGGCCGGCTGCAAGCTTTGGTCTGGTTCCTGGGTGCTTTGAGGCTCCCTCCAGGAAAGCCCCTTGTAGATGTTGCCTTGAGGTGGGAGGAGGAAGCTGGGCTCACTCCTCTCCCTCCAGGTATGTCTCAATCTGCTGCGAAGTAGGCAGAGAGAAGATCGGGAAAGCTGAGACCTGAGTGGGTTTAGTGGGCTGGCCTGCCAGCGTTTTGGTAGCTAATCATCAAAAGGTAAAAGTTTACAAACATTTTGACTTCAGAAATAACTTTCCAATGAAATTCAAGTTCTTAAATGTTGGCAAGGAGGCATTTTGCACAAAATGGAGAGTACATATCTTCTCATACAGCGCCCGGGAAGGGGGTACCTGGAGCTCCCTTCAGGGGAAGCCTGGGAAGCATGCAGACCCCACCCCTTCAGGCAGCTCTCCGCAAAGGGCTTCACTCCAGGCCAGTGGTTCTCACCCTTCCTCATGCCGCGACCCTTTAATCCAGTTCCTTATGTTGTATGTGGACGTATCTGCATGTGGGCAGACCCGCCTGGAGACAGAGGAGTGGTGTCTCGGTTCCTAAGACCATCGGAAATATGTGTTTTCCGATGGTCTTAGGCGACCTCTGTGAAAGGGTCGTTCGACCCCCAAAGGGGTCTAGACCCACAGGTTGAGAACCACTGCCCCAGACCTTGTGGCATGGAGTTCCATCAGCAGCAGATTCTCTCTGTCTAGTTCAGTTTAAAAGGCTGGGGTTCGCCCTGGCCAGTTTGGCTCAGCAGTTAGAGCATCAGTCCGTGGACCAGAGAGTCCTGGGTTCGATTCCCGCTAAGGGCACGTACCTCGGTTGCAATTTGTTCCCGGCCCTGGTTGGGGTCGTGTGGGTGGCAACCACTCCATGTGTCTCTCTCACATCGATATTTCTCTCTCTCTCTTCCTCCTTCTCTTCCTCCCGTTTTATCTGAAGATAAATTCAAAAATGAGGATTAAAAAGATAAATAAATAAAATATAAGGCTGGGGTCTGCCCTGTCAATGGTTAGAGCATCGGCCCGTGAATCAATGAGTCTTGGGTTCGATTCTAGTTAAGGGCATGCACTTCGGTTGCGGTTTGTCCCTGGCCCTGGTCCATGGCCCTGTTCTGGGGGGGAGGCAACCAGTAGATGTTTCTCTCTCTCTCTCTCTCCCTCTCCCTCCCACTTTACCTGAAGATAAAATGAAAAAATATCCTTGGATGAGAAAAAATAAAAATAAATAAAAGGCTGGGGTCACCAGTTCAAGTCTCCCATTTTCACCTGTCATTTCTGAGTTTTTCTTTTTTTATCCTCACTGATGATAAGTTTTTATTGATTGTTTTAGAGAGAGAGGAGGGAAGAGAGAGAGAGAGAAACATCAATGTGAGAGAGAAACATCCATCAGTTGCCTCCTGTACGTGTCCCAACTGGAAATTTAACCAGCAACCTAGGCATGTGCCCTGACCAGGAACTGAACCCGCAACCTTTTGGTGCATGGGACTACGCTTCAACCAACTGAGCCCCCTGGCCAGGGCTGAGTTGTTCTCAGCCCTGTTGCGGGGAGGGAAGGCCCCGACCTCTGTTTGTTTCATGCTTCCAGCAACGTGCACAGGCTGCTTGGGGCGCCCAGGGAACCTGAGCCTGGAAGGCCTGCAGCGCCCGCCAGCGAGGAAGCCGGCATTCCTGCGCTGGGCCACGGCAGCGACTCAGCCCGGGCACACCGACAGGCAGCAGCCATCGTCACCCAGCCCCAGAGCCCGGGGCCTATTCCAAAGGGAGGCAGCAAGGTCCACAGGGGGAAAGACTTCAGGAGCTTGTCAGCATGTCCTCCGCTTCACGGAGCTGTCACCAGCTGCCTCGGAAGGGGGCGAGGAAGGACAACCATCCTATTTAGTCCGTCTTGATTTCTGGGAAGGGTTCTCTGGTGAAACTTGCTGCCAGAAAACCCATCTCTTTTTCTCTGAACAAACATTCTTTCTCCGTTAAAAACAAAATTGGGTTCTCTAGCAACAAATGAATGATTTTGAGGTCTTTTGAAAAATCAAAAGGGATGGAAAGAAAGAAAAGAGGACTCAGAGGGATTGATGTAGCAAGATCCCTGTCTCCCCCACAGAGGGAGATGGCAGCGTCTTGAGCTGGAAGGCAGCTGGAAGGTCCCAGTGAAGCCCAGACCCTCTGCCCCAGCTGTTGGCTGGGCCTCCGGAGGCCAGCTGTGAGGTGAGACAGTGTTGAAGCTCAGAGAGCCCTTAGGTTCCTCTTCCAATTTGCCTTTATATAGTTAAGAAACCAGGCCCAGAGCAATAAAGGCACTTGCCCAAAGCCACATAGCAAATTAATGTTATGGCTGAACTGGAATCCAGGTCTCTGTTCCAGCCCAGCAGTCGGCCTGTGATACCAGGCCCATTCAGAATCCGGACTTCCTGTTATGGGTATCTAAGACCGAGTGGGTACTGCTGGACACAGAAAGCCGCGCAGAGCTCCTGCCTGCAGACAGCATCAGGAGGCTGGGCCTGGCAAAGGTCTGGGCTGTTACCTGCGGCTGGGTCCCGTGCTGGAGGAGCCGGCAGCTTGAGGAAAGGCGGAGGCTTCTTGTACAGATCAAAGTCCCGGTGGCGCTGGTCCCAGCTCCACCTCTCTCGATCCAGCACAGGCTTCAGAACGTTAGCAAGCAGTGCGTTTTCTCTCCACTCCTAAAGCGGGAGCAGTAAGTTAGGGGGAAGGTCCCTGAGGACGCCCCACCTGACACCCTGCTGCTCCCTGTGGACCTGTGTGGTGGCACAAGGAGGCAGCAGCTGGAGGTAATGGTCACTCCTATGGAGACCCGCCACTTGGAATCCACTGGCTGTGAGCCAGGCCTTGCGGGATTTCTCCTTGGCTTTTTTCTCCTCTTCCTTTGAATCCTGCGGCTCCACCATGGCTGAGAGGTATTTCTGTGAATATGTGAATCTTTTCCTTGGTTCCTGGAAAAGAGGGAAAACATGTGGATGGAAGGGTGGGGGCAGACTTGGACAGGGCTGACTGAGCCTCAGGTTTCCAAGCAGGTGTCAGAGACAGCTGAGGGCACAGTGATAGTTCCTGACAGTGTAAGTGCGGTATTCAGATGAACTGAACTGGGCAGTGGCCCTGGGAGGTTACATTATTGTCCCCTTTGACAGAAGCAGCCCTTTTCTAAATGCACCATGTGCTGAAGCCTAAGCCAGGGCGCTTCCTTCAGGGGGACACCTGCTTTTCTTCTCCTCCCTTCAGTGACACCAAGCTGCTCTGCGAGGTGAAGAACCTGCAGTGGTTTGCAGCTTCGGACATGTGAGCGAACACTGAGGACCCCTAGCTCACCCCTCCCTGCACGTGGATTCCCATTCAGTGTGGCAACAGAACACCTTTCCCCGCACCTGATCCCCTGCTTACTCCCCTAGCTGGTTGGCTCTTACCCACACACTGGAGATCTGATGACCTCCAGGCAGGATGGTCAGAGAGGAAGAGCTGCTAACGGGATGAGCAAGCCGTGGTCATCCTGTCTGGAGTATAAGACTTGACAGTTTTTCTGTGCCTCTCACTCACCTTGGCCATCTCACAGTACAGCTCCTTCTTGGCCAGCTCTGTGGAATTCAGAGTCTGCATACTATAGTTATAGACAGCACCTGTGGCAGAGGCTGAACTTCTAATCACCTTCACCAAAGACTTTGGAGGCTTCTTGCTCACCTGGTAGGCTTCTGCGATATTTTTCTAAAGAAAGAGACACCAGTCATTATCCACACAAGACCCCTCACCACCAACTACCTGCTTGCTTTCAGCCCTGGGACATGGCCGCATGCAGGGATCAGTTCTAGAATACTGGAGTTGAGATTTCATCACGGAACCCTGCCAGAGGGCCATCTCGTCCAGTCCCTACAGTCTACAGAAATTCTGTGGACCAGAAGTGTGGCATTTGCCTAAGGCCACTGGGACTGCCACACTTGGCCAGAGCTTATAGCTCAGGTGTCAGGCGTGGGAGAGGCCTGAGGCTTTCGTGGCATCTACCGGGGAGACATGAACTAGCGGCAAGGACTGGCTGTGTGTATGGGGCGTTACCCCCCTCTCCCCACAGCCTCAAGATGGTCTGCTGGCTTCCTTTGTGCATGAAAATAGCAAGTTACCATATGATTTCACTCATATGTGGAATCTAATGAACAGACTGTACTAACAAGCAAAATAGAGACAGACTTATAGAGAGCAGGCTGACAGCTGCTTGGGGAGGGTGGGAGTAGGGTTGGTTAGGGGAGATGGTGGGCTTGAGCAAAATAGAAAAAAAAGAGAAAGAACTACAAAAATAAAATAAAATAAAAATCCAATTGAGATGTAGAAATTTCCAGGACAGCCAATAATATTGTAATAACTATGTACGGTGTCATATGGGCACTAGACTTATCAGGGTGATCACTTCATAAGGTATATAAATGTCTAATTACTATGTTGTTCAACTGAAACTAATATTGTATGTCAACTATAGTTGAAAAATAAAAAACAATTAAAAATAGCAATGAGGAAAGAGATAAAAGATAAAATAAGATTTCAGAGAAAGGTGGCTGGGACCCAAAAAAAGAAAAAGAGGAAGAATTTTACTCTAAATTGTTAACCACAGCATAACTTGCCCATCACTTGCCTATCAACCTTCAGCAAAATAACTCTCTTTCACTTGAAAAATATTTTTAACTCGAGATGGTGACCTTGACTCATTTATTAACATGACTTGGGCCAGCCCCCAGTGTCTTGACTTTGGATTCTTTGAGGAATTTCTGTTAGAGAGTGCAAAGTGATCAAGGGAAGGACTAAATAGATCTGTGATTCACACACACAAGAGAAATGTTGGTCGAGGAACAAGACACCTGTGGGTTGGAGCAACAGACTGAAGGCAAAGGCAGGCTGAGGGTCATTGGATAAGGGACAAAACTCAGGCCTTTGAGCAGCTTTGAGAAGACTATGATAGAAAGACCATATAAGCTAGGATCCTGTCATGGCCCATATGTAGCTCCAATTAGAATATTTAGTATTTTATCCAGTTTTTCTGGTTGTCTTCTAGGAGGGGTTGTCTGAATTGGCCAGTCTGCTTTTTTTTTTTTTTTTAATAATAATTTTTTTTCTTTATTGATTTTAGAGAGAGGAAGTGAGAGGGAGAGAGAGATAAAAACATCGATGAGAGAGAACATCCATTGGCCACCTCCTGCATGCCCCCAACTGGGGATTGGGCCCACCACCTGGGCATGTGTCCTGGTGCATGGGTTGAACTGCTGAGCCACACCGGCTGGACCAGTCTACTTTTAATAAAAGTAGAAGTCCTTGTTCCTTCAAAACCCTAGAACAGGTGGATAACAGCCTGGGAAGACAGATTCTTCCTTCTGTGATACTTCCCTTAGAGTTTTAAGTCGAAGTTCTGACCAAAAGAGGTTCCTTGCTGAAGTGAAAATAGTGGTCAACTGTTGTCCTGCATTCCCGGGATTCCTTGCCCTGAGGCTGATCTGCTAGGCACCTTGGGGAAGATGGACTCATAGCCAAAGTAACTAGATACCTAAGAAGTATATTCAATATTAAAGGAAGACCACCAACTGAACCACTGAAGCTAAATTATTGGAAGGGAAGGGATAAAAACTTAAGATAAATGTAATAATAATTCATAAAAGATATAAGTGACTGTATTAGCAATGGTCTGCAAAGTTTCTTTTTGTAATTCAATTTATTGGTGTGACATTGGTTAGTAAGATTATATAGGTTTCAAGTGTACAATTCTGATACATCATCTGTATATTGCATTGTGTGCCCACAACCCAAAGTCAAATCTTCTTCCATCACCATGTATTTGACCCCTGTACTCCTTACTACCCCTTACCTCCCCATCCCTCTGGTAACCACCATACTGGTGGTTTCTGTGGCTATGAGATTTTGAGTATTTTTCTTGTTTGTTCATTTGTTGCTTTCAATTTTATATCCCACATATGAGTAAAATGATATGGTTCTTAATTTTTTCTGACTTATTTTACTTAAGCATGACTTTCTCAACAGCCATCCATGTTGTTGCAAATGTATGTCATCTTTTCTTATGGCTGAGCAGTATTTCATTGTATATATGCACCAGCTCTTTGTTGTTTTCCTTTAATTCTCAGCTGAGAATATGTCTTTACTGATTTTAAAGAGAGAGGAAGGGAGAAAGAGAGAGAGAGAGAAAGAAACATCAATGTGAGAGAAAAACATTGATTGGTTGCCTCCGGTACATGCCCTGACCAAGTATTGAACCCATCAATCTGGGTATGTGACCGGGAATTGAACCCACAGCACTTAAGTGTATGAGATGATGCTCCAACAATCGAGTCACCTGCCAGGGTAATATCTTCTTTATCCAATAATCCAGCAAAGAACACTGGTTGTTTTCATATCTTGGCTTCCATAAATAATGCTGTGATGAATACAGGGGTGCATACACCTTTGCCAATAAATGTTTTCAAAATTTTCAGATAGATAGAAGAGAGATTGCTAGGTTATATGGCAGCTCTATTCTTAATTTTTTTTTTTTTAATCCTCACCTGAGGATATTTTTCTATTTATCCTCAGATAAATAGAAAAATCTCAGAAAGAGAGAGAAAAGAAGAGAGAGAAAAATATTGACGTGAGAGGGACACATTGACTGGTTGCCTCCTGCATGACCCTGACCAGGGCAGGGGAAGAACTGCAACAGAGGAATGTGCCCTTGACTGGAATGAAACCTGCGATTCATTGGTCCGCCGGCCAATACTCTACCGCTGAGCCAAACCGGCCAGGGCTATTCTTAATTTTTAAGGAGCTCCATACTGTTTTCCATAGTAGCTGGACCAGTTCATATTCCCATGAGTAGTGAATAAAGTTTCCTTTTTCTTCACAACCTCTCCAACATTTGTGAGGTGGTATCTCATTGTAGTTTTGATTTGCATTTTCCTAATAGCTAGTGAAGTTGAACATCTTTTCAAATATCTGTTGGCCATTTGCATGTCTTCTTGGAAGAAGTGTCCAGGTCCTCTGCCCCTCTCCGCTTTTTTTTAAAGAGAGAGAGGAAGGGAGAGAGAGAGAGAGAGAGAGAGAGAGAGAGAGAGAGAGAGAGAGACATTGATTGGTTATCTTCTGCACACACCCCCTACTGGAGATTGAGCCTGCAACCCAGGTGTGTGCCCTGACTGGGAATCCAACTGATGACCTTTTGGTACATGGGACAACGTTCAACCAGCTGAGCCACTCCAGCTGGGCATGCCCATTTTTAAATTGGGTTGTTTGGTGTTGAGTTGTATGAATTCTTTATATATTTTGGTATTAATCTGTTGTCAAAACTGTTGTTTGCAAATATCTTCTCCCATTTTGTTGGTTGTTTTTTGTTTTGTTGGCAATTTCTTTTGCTGTGCAGAAGGTTTTTAGTTTGATATAGTCCCAGTCATTTATTTTTGCCTTCACGTCCCTTGCCTTTGGGAGTCAAATTCATAAAATCTTCTCTAATACTAAGGTCCATATGTTTAGTACTTATGTTTTCTTCTATGTAATTTATTGTTTCAGGTATTATATGTAGGCCTTTGATCCATTTTGAGTTAATTTTTGTGTATCATCACAAATAACAGTTGAGGGTCATTCTTTCGCATATGGCTTTCCAATTTTTCCATCACCATTTATTGAAGAGGCTTTCTTTCTCCATTATATGTTTTTGTTTCCTTTATCAAAAATTGTTAGCCTATATACATATGGGTTTATTTCTGGGCTCTCAGTTCTGTTCCACTGGTCTGTGCATGTGCTTTTCTGCCAAAATCATGATGTTTTGATTATTGTCACTTTCTAGTATAATTATAAATCAGGTAGTGTGATGCCTCTGGCTCTGTTCCTTTTTTTCAGAATTGCTTTGGCTATTCAGGGTCTTTTGTGGTTCCATACAATCTGATAGCTTTTTGTTTTATTTTTAAAAAATATGTCATTGGTGCCCTGGTTGATTTGACTCAGTGGTTTGAATTGTGGCCCACAGACATAAGGGTTGCAGGTTTGATTCCCAGTCACGGGCACACATACCTAGGTTGCAGGTTCGATCCCTGGCTCCAGTCAGGGTTGAGTGGGACGTAACCAGTCAAACTGTCTCTCTCAAATTGATGTTTCTTTCTCTCTCTCTCCTCCATCTCCCTCCCTTCCACCCTATCTCTATCTAAAAATCAATGGAAAAATATCGTTGGCTGAGGATTAAAGAAAAAATCATTAAAAGATGTCATTGGAATTTTGATCAGGATTGCATTAAATCTGTATATTGCTATGGGCAATATACACATTTTAACTATGTTGATTCTTCCAATCCATGAACATGGAATATCTTTCCACTTCTTTGTGGCTTTTTCAATCTCTTTTAGTAATGTTTTATAGTTTTCAATATATATGTCCTTTATATCCTTTGTTAAGTTTATTCCTAGGTTTCTTATTCTTGTTTTAATTGCAAAAAAAAAAAGTTTTTTTTTTTCCCCCTGAAATTTTATTGTTAATATATAGGAATGTAGTGGATTTTTGTACATTGATTTTGTATCCTGCAACTTTACTGTATTGCTTTATTGTTTCCAATAGTTTCTTTGTGGAATCTTTAGCGTTTTCTATATAAAGAATTTTGTCATCTGCAAAAACTGACACTTCTACTTCTTCCTCTTATTTGGATGCCTTTTATTCCTTTCTGCTGATTGCTCTGTCGAGGACTTCCAGTACTATGTTAAAGAACAATGGTGAGAGTGGACATCTCTGTCCTGTTCCAAAGCTTAGAAGAAAAGCTTTCAGTTTTTCACCATTGAGTGTATTAGCTGAGGGTTTGTCATATATGGCCTTTATTATGTTGAGATACTTTCTTTCTAAAACCATTTAACTGAGTGTTTTAATTACAAATGGATGTTGTATCTTACTAAATGCTTTTTCTTTATTTATTGATATGGTCATATAATTTTTATCCTTTATTTTGTTAATGTGCTGTATTATATTGATTGGTTTGTATATGTTGAACCATCCTTGTGCCCCTGGAATGATCAACTGAGAGTCTTATGGGAGTCCCTTTGTAGGTGACTCTTTTGCTGTTTTTTAATATTCTTTCTTTCTCTTTAACCTTTTCAATTGTAATGATGATGTGTCTTGGTGTGGGCCTCTTTGGGTTTGTCTTGTTTGGGACTCTCTGAATTTACTGTACTTGTTTGTCTATATATTCTTTTGCCAGGTTAGGGAAGTATTCAGTCATTATTTCTTCAAGTAGGTTATCATTTCCTTGCTCCCTTTCTCCTTCTTATTGTCCCCCAATGATGAGAATGTTGTTATGCTTGATGTCTCAGAGGTCCCTTCAACTATCCCCATTTTTAAAAGTCTTTTTTTCTTTTTGTTGTTCTGATTGGGTGTTTTCTGCTACCTTGTCTTCCAAATCCCCAACTCAAACTAATTTGCATTTAAAGCCATTTTAAAGTAGAGATACCTGAGACAATAGAAACATAATTTCCCTTTTTTTTTTATCCTCACAAGAGGACATTTTTCCATTTTTTTTATTCAAGTAGAGTAAGAGGGAGGGAGAGAGAGAGGGGGGGGAGAGAGAGAGAGAAACATTGATGTGAAAGGGACACATTGAGTGGTTGCCATCTGCACAACCCAACCAGGGCCAGGGACAAACTGCAACCAAGGTACATGCCCTTAGTGGGAATTGAACCCGGGTCTCTCTGGACCTCAGGCCGATGCTCTAACCACTGATCAAAACTGGCCAGGACAGAAACATAATTTTCTAAAGTTCTGAAACAGTATTTCCAAGTGATGTCAAAAAAATTAAGGAGAAATGGGCATATTAAATAAGCTGTACAAACATACTATAAAATCTTGTACAGCAATATTATTTAAAAATTTTTAGAACCCCTTGTTTCATGGCATTAACCAAATTGTGTAACCCATAATGAGTACGATATATTCATGTACTTGTGTGTGTACATATGTAACTACATTGAGAATGTGGGATATAGGGGGAAGGGAAGACTGCTCATAGTTTCAATATTATTTGAATTTTTTTTATAGGCATTGTACCTAGGTCTTGTTTTGGAATTTATAAGAAATTTAAAGAAAATAGCAACCAGGACATATAGCACATATAATACTTTACAGAATATGGCCAAGGATGTATAGAGGAAAATGCATACTTTCTTATTAAACAAGAAAAGAATAAGAATTAATGAAAGTCAACTTAAGCAGCTTTTAAATATCAGAAAAAAATAAAGCTGAAGTTAATGAATTAGAAAAACAGAAAAAGGAGACTGATAAATCCAAGAACGGGTTCTCTTAAAAAACTAAAAACCTAAACACTAATGAAATAAAACAGCTTATTTATTTATTTCTTTTTCATAAAGAACACACACATACAAAGTGTACACACATCTAAGGGACTTTTCCCCCTAGAGACTGTTGTGGGGAGTAGATCCAGTAGATTCTGGAACATACAGACCACTAGTGGACAACTTCAAATCCCATCTTGGATGTTGGTGTTTTTGTCTTTTTGGGTGGTATTGAGGTGAAGGAGGTTCTTGTTGGCTATTCAGGCCATATAACACCCAGCCTCCTATCACCTCATCAGCTTCTCAGTCTCCTACTCTCTTTCTTTTACATTTTCTCATGCAGATTTGGTTTATCTCCTGTGTTGCTGGGACATTTGATAACATCCATGCCCTTAGCAGCTTAAGATATATCACACACACACACACACACACACACACACACACACACACGAGACAGTTCTTCCTCAAGGATAAACTCTGTGACCAAGGTAAAGGTAATATGCCTAAGGGCATTCCTTTTCACCTTTCAGGAGGATGGGATATGCCGGGGCTATGAGTGAGTGTTTCTGGTATGGTTCAGCCCTGTGCTCGGCAGTTCTTGCCTGTCCTGTCTGCGATCCCAGGCAGGAGAAGAGATACAGGCCAGAGGCAGATGCCCCATTGGAGATTTGGCTATCTACCCAATACCTCCCAGCATATGACTGAACAGCTCAGGCGGAGCAAAGGCCCGGGACCACTGACCGCAGAGAGGACCCACCTGAATCAGACTACGATTCTTGCCTTTATATTTCATCATCGCAGTGTTCCGCCACCGCAGGTACTTCTCCTGGTGGGCAAGAATCTCATGAGTGAGGGTAGAATTCCGACTTTGAAAGTCCTCCAGATTGGAGGTGGGGTGAGATGGGATGGTCCAAAGTGTTTCGTTGGCAATTTCTTCCAGTGAAATGGGCAAGCCAAATTCTTGGCTCAGGTCTCTGATCATGTCAGAGGAAGGCAGAAGGTCCCCTGTGATCACCTCCCTGAGCTTGGAGCTGTAAAGGCAGATGCAGTAGATCCTGGAATACAGAAGAGCCTACTTAGTCTCACTTTCCTTGCAAGATGGGTCAGACCATCCCCATTTTACAAGAGGGAATGACAACTCAGAGGCATTGATTAGCTGGTAAACATGCGTTTGTAGGAGAAGCAAAGCATCCGAGAGCCGCCCACTCCCATGTACCCCTCTTTGTCATCTTAGTGGGAGAAAGGGCTTCTTTGCAGGTGGGGTGCAGGAGGTAAACCTGGGGAGGCTCCCACTTAGCCTGGGAAACACTGCCACCCCTTCTCTGCTGGGACTGCTCAGGCACAGGCAGTGAGGAGCTGGGGAAGGCCACAGAAAATGGGACTCAATGGATATGGGGTTCTGTCCTCTTCCTTCCCTTCCCATCCCCTCAGGAGCAACTTGGACCCAGCAGGGGCTGTGCAGCTGAGCGGAGGGCCAGCCAGTGGGGCCCAGGCAGGAGGGCTCTGAGCTCCATGGGTGGTAACTCTTTTGATATTTTCCTTTGATCTCTGAGTAAATTCTAAGTGCACAGGTAAGGGACAGCCAGGCAGGCCGAGAGCATTGCAGGTATGGTGACCTTCGGCTTCTCACTAGGACAGAACCCCTGCTCCCCTTCCTTCCCTTGGACACCCTGCCGCCTTGAGGAGAGCTTCCGTTCAGCCTCTGGTGAGCACCTGGCCCAGGGTATCTCCTGTCACTGCAGGCCTGGACCGCCTTCCAGGAGAGGCACCACCACCGCCCCCTGTTGGGCTCCTGCGCTGCTCATGGCCCTTCACCTGGAACCGAGTGACAACGGGACTGCATTTGTGTCCCTTACGTGGTAATCGGCAGCTAACCGGTACCCACAGCCCCGGGTGGGGCGGGACTCCCTGCCATCATACCCCCGCGCGCGTGACCTTTGGTGGGGTATGCGCAGTGACGCCTCCTCTACACACCCACGCACTGCGTGTCCCCTTGGAGCCAGGCTGGTCCCCGCATGCCTGTGCGTCTCACCTCACTGTGCAGGAATGTTTGGGAAGTCCTGTTCCCAGGCACAGCCAGCCATGTGGGCATGGAGAGTCCTTCCAGAGCCTGGGTAGGATCCCTGGGGCTGTGGGGACCTACAGTCTCTGGCACCCGCCAGGGTGGCGGCACAGTGCTGGCTACGTGGGAGGACAGGCGGGGAGCAGCAGGATGCCCCCTCCGTGGGCCACACCTTCTCCTTTGTTGTGTCCTGCTCCGCCTGGGAGGTCGGAGGGAGGGTGTGGGGGCACACGCCTTAATCCTGGAAACTGTCCCCACCCCGCAGCAGAGGGGCCCAAGGGGAGGGGCAGCTTCTACAATATACTTAATAACTTAGTTGAATGAATGAATAAATCTCTAAACCCACCAACACCTCAGAGGAATCTGACATAATACTGCAACTCTTAACTTTTCTACAAATAGAAGAAGAATCAAGGCTAGTTCATAATGTTAAGAGAAACTCCTTTGCCCTAAATTTAAATATTAATAACTATCTAGTTATGGAAAATATGGTATAATTCTATTATTCTCTTCATTATTTTCCATGCTTGTATTTTACCTCTGTTCATATAAACTTAATATTTAAGATGTTAAATAAGATTCATAAAATCATTCATTTAGAATTTTTTGAGCTGCTTGAGAAATGACAGGAAATAGAAAGTGGTGCTAATTGTCATTTCAGTATTATTAAACAGCCTTTTCTTAGTCTACAGGAGACCTTTGTCACCCTCTCTACACACCCACCTGAACATTACACCCAGCATAAGACAAACTATCAGTCACAAAAAAGAACAAGCTTCCTCCTATTTAGTAAGAGTAGGTGGTAAGGACAAAATAACTTATTTTATTTTAATCCTCACCCAAGGATGTGTTTTCCACTGATTTTAGAGAGAGAAAAGGAGGCGGAGAGAGAGACAAACATCGATCAGTGCCTCTTGTACCAGCAACAACCAGGGATTGAACCTGCCACCTTTTAGTGTATAGAATAATGCCCCAACCATCTAAGCCACACTGGCCAAGGCAAAAATTACTTATTTTAAAAGTTATTAACATGAACGTTTCTGGAACAGAATGTGTGCGTTACTAACATTTTCCATCTGGGTTCTACACAACTGCGATTTTCTATAAATCTACAAAGGTCAGTGAAAGTCACAGCTATGTCATGAGCAGCGTGTGCTTGTGCACTGGGGCGCCCTGCGGATCATAGCCAGACTTCCCAACACACCCCATAACTGTTTACTGACTGCAGGAAACATTCCTAAGTCAGTGTTTAGGAACTTTTTATCAACGTGTTCTCTTGCAATGCTGGAATCTTCTAGATTTGGTATTGTCCTAGAATACCCCAAACATAAATTATGATAAAAATACATGAACTGAGGCTTCTAGTCATTTTTTTACATCATCGAGATTCAGTTTCATGGCCTCCCGAGCCACCACTGTGCGAAGAGTCGCTTCTTTCTCTTTGCTGGTCCTAAAGCAGATGAGATGCATGGACCATGTCTCAATCCTACATCAAAAACAAGAAATCTGTCCTCCCACAGATCTTCCCAGCAGTGCTCTGTAAAAAGGTTTCCTTTAGAGCTTTTGTTTACTTTGCTTTTTTTAAATCCTCACCCGAGGACATTTTTCCATTTTTTGTTCAGACAGAGTGGGAGGGAGGGAGGGAGGGAGGGAGGGAGAGAGAGAGAAACATCGATGTAAAAGGGACACCTGCACGACCACTGCACGACCAACAGGGTCAGTGACAAACTGCAACCGAGGTACATGCCCTTAGAGGGAACCAAACCCAGTTCTCTCTGGACTGCAGGCTGACGCTCTAACTGCTGAGCCAAACTGGCCAGGGCTTTTGACTTTGTTTTTGCATGTGTTTTATTTTTCAATTACAAAAATGATTTTAAATAAAAAAGAACAATTCTGTGTTTGTGATGTCACTACCAGTGCATTATATTTTCCGTGTCTCCCTTTTGTACCGTTTCTGTCACTGGCGTTTGCTTACGCACTTTCTCCACCAAAACTGGGTGTAAGCTGGGAACTTTCTCTTTAATGCATAACATTTGGAAGTATTCAAACTTTTCTCCAGTATTTTAAAAATTTAAGGCGTCTGTCACTCCACAGTCCGCTCAGTTACAATGTAAGGAATGGGAGTATGTTTCTAAGTCATGTTAAGACAAGAAGAGAACTGTTTTTAGGGGCTACAGGACTTGCAAAGATTCTACTTGGTCTTTAGCATTGCTCAGCTTGAGATACAAGCTTCACAGGAAGCATTTGGGGAGAGCAGCTGTGAGTCACATTTGTTGGTAAAACCAACTCTGCTGCCACATTAACACTCTTTGCCCATTGCCTTCCTCATGTTCACCACCTCCCAAGTCTCTAAGATAAGCCAGTCAGTCCTGCAAACGCATGTGGGATGCTGCTTCTTCACAAACAAAGGTCCATGGGAGCAAGTTTTAAAATGTAATAAAAAGCCCTGGCCAGTTTGGCTCAGCATTTAGAGTGTCGGCCCGTGGACCGAAGGGTCAAGTGTTCAATTCCCGGTCCAGGGTGGGTACCTGAGTTGCAGGCTTGATCCAGGGACCTGGTTGTGTGGGAGGCAACCAATCAATGTGTCTCACATAGATGTTTCTCTCCCTCCCCCTCCCTTCCTTCCACTCTATCTAAAAGAAAATTTTTTAATGTAATAAAATGAAAAAGACCACGTGATCTTTCATTTATTCTTCCATATTCTGGTGGTTCCATTTTCATTTTTTTTAGGCTCTTCCATACTGTGTTTACTTTTCCCAAGTAAACTCCCAACTGACATTGCAGGAACATGCTTGAGTTGGCCTTTCTTGGGTCTGTATTTTTTGGCTTAAAAAAAAAATTGTGTGCATACCTGCTTTGCATTTTAAGATTCTTGTCTGCATAGCAAAGCAAAGTGATGATGATTAACTATCCAGCAAGACTGCCACCCCATCACAGCGATGTAGGGACAGAAAACTGCCCGGTCAGAAAGGGCGTTCGGTGGCCTGTAGGTTGCTGCACATCTGCCACACTTTCAGTGTTATGGGCAGGTGCTCAAGGAACAAGCTGGTTAGGAAGGTGATTCACTCTGGGCTGAGTTTCACTTTGTTGTATTTTTTTGTTGGCATCAGATGGTAATTTGAAGATAATTGTGTGGTTTGAGATTCTTGTTTCAAGCCAATCTGTCCTAGGCTAACAAATAGCAAAAGTACCCTCTGATCATTAAAAAAAAATTTTTTTTGCCCTGGCCAGTTTGGCTCCACGGTGGAGCGTTGGCCTATGGACCAGAGAGTCCCAGGTTTGGTTCCTGCTAGGGGCATGTACCAAAAAAAAAAAAATTTTTTTTTTCTTCTTCAGATAGAGTGGGAGGGAGGGGGGGAGAGAGAGAGGGAGAGGAAGAGTCATCAATGTGAGAGAGACACATTGACTGGTTACCTCCCCCACGACCCCAACCAGGGCCAGGGCTGGGGACCAAACTGCAACTGAGGCACAAGCCACTGATGGAAATCGAACCCACGAACTCTTTGGTCCACAAGCAGACGCTCTAACTGCTGAGCCAAACTGGCCAGGACTACCCTCTGATCATTTAACTGTATCTATCCTTCATTGAGTTTGAACACATCTATTTGAATTTCTGCCTTTGAATTTCAAATATCTGAACAGGCCTGCTGCAGAACATTCATAAATAACACTGAAATGATGCCAGATGTGCAGCAACCTACAGGCCACCGAGCACACTTTCTGACCTGACAATTTTCTGTCCCTACATCGCTGTGTGTATGTACTCAGCCAAAACAACTGAGCACATCTGATTTCTCCTTTCAACTTTTTGTATTTTGCAATTGGAATTCAAACATCTCACTTTTATTTATTTTTAAAAATTTAATTAATGTTTTGTTAATTCTCACCCAAGGATATTTTTCCATTGATCTTTTAGATAGAATGGAAAGCAGGAAGGGAGAGAGAGAGAAAGTGAAGCATCCATGTGAGAGAGACATATCAATTGGTTGCCTC